GCGCCAAAGTTTGATGGCACGGCGGAAAATCTCCTTGCATTCATTGAGGATTATGAGTCATGCGCCGATGATGTGATCCTGGTCGGAGGCGACCGAATCAAAGGTATTATCCGCTACCTGCCTAACAGCAAGCGCGCACTCTGGTCTGGAATGCCGGAGGCAAAGTTAAGCGATTATGACGCCTTTATTGAAGAAGTAAAGGAAATGTACCCCGGCTGTGAAGGCGAAAAGTGCTATGCCATTTCTGACCTTCAGTCGGTTACGCACAAACATGTGGCCCTACCAATGCCTTCGCTCACCGAGCTTGGCAATTACCGCCACGCGTTCAGAGAGATCACTGATTCCTTGATCGCAAAAGATCACATAGGTAAGGCGGAATGGAACTGCATGTGGCTAGAAGGGTTTCCAAGCAATGTTCACCATCCGCGCGACCCTTACCCCTTCGCAGATGTAGACACGGTGTAAGACCTATGGTCTTTTCAGCCTTGTATAGGCCATATTTGCTATCCCTCAGACTCTATTACCCTCTGCATTGTTTTGAACATAGCGCGTGGTATTTTATCGTCAGCCGACGGCCGCGGGTCATCGGCTCACATCGGCTTTTCTTCAGGTCCTTCGCACGTCCTCCGTCCATCCTATTCATATCCTCCATTGGTTCATTGGTGAGTGTCATACTCAATTAGTATTAGATTGACTTTATTTCCGAAGCTATTTCGTTTATATTCTCATTACATGTGTCACAGACCCTACTTACATACTTATTGCTATCTACTCGGTCCTGAACAGCACTTAGGCGCACATACAGATATATCCCATATTTACGAAGTTCATGTATTTCTTTTTCCCCCACTGGAAATCTATCCTCACTCTGCACACAAAATCAGAACCTCCGCACTAAGCATTCAGTAAAAACTTTGGCTTATCTCCACACGCATCTTTCTATCGGCCAACTTGCCTTCATACATCGGTACTTTCATGTAACGACTGGTTTACACATTTTCTATGTATTGACTCGGCCACACTCTCTAAGTGTGCAAATGTACCTTTGGCCGCAGGTTTCTCTATCACCTCGTACGTTCGGCACATCGTATTGCGTCAGCTTATACCACTTCGCATTGGTTCGTGTCACTCCACATCGCATCACATCGGCTTTCGCATTTCCTCACTTCTCAACATTACTTACTAGTTTCCCAAGTTCCCCTCAGCATATTTTACTTAGAGGAATCATTCTCAGTAGCAATCCCCTTGGGTCAAATACTATACTCACATCCAGAGGTCTATTTGAGTTTTACCCCACTTCACCCTTTCTTTCCCTTTCACCCCTTCTCATCTAGCTATCATTCCTCGCACACATTGGTTCAGGTTCAGACCACAAAAACACCGAACCGGTGTAGAAACAACAATACAGAGAGGAACAAATGATGCTCCAGACTGTATCTATAGTTGTTGAAGGTTGTGCGTTTGCCTAGTCTGCTATGCTTGAGATGACAAGCGTGTTCGACCCTAAAGGGGAAGTGAGTGCAGCAAGGATCTAGAGGTGTGCGCCAAAGCGAAGCACGAGAAAGCACAGGTGCGCGCAAGGCGCGGGAACGCGCGCATATGTGGAAATAAGAAAGACTAAACTTAAGTGATGATATGATACAAGGTAAGAGAAGAGTGATCCAAAGTGTAAACAAATAGATCTCTACTATGTTCTGCTAACTAGTAAGTGACTGGTAGGAAAAGTAAGTTGTAAAAAATGGAAAGTTAGTTGAAAAAGTGTAAAGTTTGAAAGTCAGTAATAGTATGTACTGCTGGCGCTTATATAGCGCGCCTAAGCGCGGTCATGCGGAGCCGAAGCGCTACTGAGTAGGTATGTAAAGATATATATGAGTGAGAGTCCATGATAAAAATAAAGACAGAACAATATGCAAATGAGAGAAATGGAAATATACGCACTAGAGGGCTTGGTGGACAGTGGATGGATGCTTCTGGATGGCTGGCGCTATAGGGCGCTCAAGCGCGGGAATGGTGCGCGCATGGCGCGCGTTGCGCGGGAAAGCTGCGCCTCATATAGAGATAGCTGTGGGTAGCACACAGAGTGATACTACAAGTTCATGCTGTGAACTTCCTAGTGAAAGGTGCCATATCACACCATGAGAGGCATGAGTCTCTACACCGGACCATAGAGAACCATTCTCTATGGTCCAGTTCTGGGTTCGGACATTTGGTAGAACTGAACTGATGGTCCGGTTCTTGGTTCTTGTCTAGGACCCTCCGAACCGGACCATGGCAGCACTAATAGGAAAGGTTTTCATCACATTAGAATATAAAGTGATATAAAGCAATATATGACTATGCAAAAGCACCATAATCAGCATAATCCCCAGCAAGAACTCACCAGTTTACTGATGCTCTTGTCCAATTGTTAGTGCTAGAAATATTATGAGATTATCAGCAGTTTTCAAACAATGTCCTGCTCACCCCAATTGTATACTACCATGATGCTTGTGGCAACTGCAAAACTGCAGATCAATGTTAGATCTAGACATCTTGAGGCGACAAACCTGTCCAATAGCTATAAGAGATATTTGAATTGATTATCGGCCACAAACTGGGATCATTTAAGACTGTGGTCATATTCGAGGGATGGGTATGAGTCAGTGGGGAATGTTGGAGTGTATAACGATAGCATTCGTGCTAGATATACTGCTGTTCAGTGTTTCTATTACCAAAATCTGCATGATGGAGATGAACATTTGGTCCTGCCTCGAGAGTCAAACAGCCCTTCAATTACCCTTATGGAATAAGGGCTCATTGTGCGACACAGCATCAGAGAACTCAAACAGGAAAGCATGGCAGAGTGGGTCAAAAGTGGAGCAAATCTATCTCATCTTATCTGTTGCCTTGTATATGCTTCAAACCTTATAAGCAGGCTATCATGATTATATCAAAACAATGAACAAATATATGATAACCATAGAGCAAATCCGATACAAAGCGCACCATGTTCAATGTGCACTTGGTGTAATGATGATGATTGCACTGCCAGATTCATGATTGATCTCCAAAGGTTTAAAGAGAAATCGAACACGGGAGACAACTTACAAGAAGTCATTTTAAACTGCGTCTTGTCAACATGAACAAACAATTGCGAACCGAGGTGTTACTTGAGGAAATTCTGCAGAACTTCACTGAAGGCTCGAGCGGCGCTTAGCGCTTACTATGCAACAACATCAATTTAGCAGCAACTTGGAATGTTGGGCTTTCCCTAGCATTTGGAAACTGGAACCGTTGTCGGCGCTAGAACAAGTCACAGCGAGAGCTGGAGAAACCACGCTGAGGTGTGAAGCGGGGAACTGACGCGTATAAGTACTGCACAAAAAGGACGAAGAAGCTAACGGAAAGGATGGTACCGGTAGCAAGAAGAGACAACGTTAATCGTAGCCTTGTGGGGACAGTGCTTCCTCCGGTACGGTGCTTTCTTCGGTACCTTCTTCAACAACTGTGGTCGAGTATCACAGCCGCTCGGCGCTCGGCAACTTTGCCGCGTATCAAGGTTTCGATCAAATGCGGTCCAATTTTGACTACTGCATGGTCTGAGGCCTCATCTTCAACAAGGGCGTCAACCGGTGATAAGTCTTCTCTTCTTGTTTCCTGAAACCAACTCATTTCTGAAAGGCTGCGCAGCGTAGCCGGTGGAACCATATTGAACCTTATAATTATCCGCTCTCGGGCTGTTACCCATGAGCCATGGCAGGAAGCACTGGAAGCACTTCATAATCGTTATCAAAATAGGACTCGGACACGCTGCGGTGCCGGACCAACAGTACCTGTGACAACGTATCAAGATCCGGATGAACTCTGCTGCAATTCCTCTGATTTCAAACTTCAATCCCTCTGTATGGGAAATACTAGGCTGAAGTCTTTCGATGGCATATCTACTTTTGATGCACACCATTCAAAGATCTTGGTCCGTTGATGAAGAGCTTTTGCTGAGAGACTCATGTTTACAACTTTGTGGATTTCCAGAATTAAATTCCTCCGATCCTCGAAGTGGGAAAGCAATCGATAATATTCCGCAGGCAATCAATCAGCTTCTTCCATGAGGCAAGATGTATCGCGTAGGCGCCTTTGGTTGTGCCCTGCAGAGCGTCTAGAAGAAGGTGAAGAAGCACTGGTTTTGAGACATGCTGATGGAATCACTGCATGAGGCGTAGAGTTCGGGAATATCTATGTAATGCTGTTTCGTGCTTGTGTGATTGTGAACCACTCTAAATTGCTAATACAGGACGCCTCAAGATTGCGGGCTATCGGACCTCAGTGTCGCCTAGCAGGGGTATCCAATTACGAATATTCGAAATTTGCTCCCTGTCCATGCGTTGTATCTCTATCAACTTACGCAATGTAAGGTACAATGACAGCACGTGCTATAATCGCACTATACTGACAACGCAATCCAGAATAACATTTAAACATCTTGTACAACAACCAGAACCTCGTATTATGATGCATCGATAATTGTCCGCAACGCACTCAGAAGTCCTGCAGTGGACTTCCATATGAAAATACGTATTGTTAGTGCATCCTGTGTAACACGTGCTCTGAAGTCACAACCCATGAATTTTGGTGGCGGCTCTCGAGACCCTTGGCACGTTGTGTTTGCAGTCTCATCTCGGTTCGTTTAACGCTAGAACTCAGATGCTAACGCGACATCATACTACCATCCGGACATTCATCGAACGCCGAATCGATATCTCGGAGCCGTTGTGAGTGTTGCACAGCTGACTCACCAATTTATCAAGATTTACTCGAAGAGAAGTAGAAATAAGACACTGGTATATATACCAGCGCTGATTTAACTTCTAGTTTCCTCCAACGCCATTCAGCTCTGACACTTGTTATTACATCCGCTTTCTACTTAAGGTATGATATCTCGCCGCAAGATGTACTGGGTCATTGAAACCGAAACTGAAAGCAGGTCATGATCTCATTATCAAAGATGTTGAACAGCTGTTATGATGCCTGGTCAAGTTCATTGTACGTTGCCATTTTCGACTGATGAATCACATGCGGTTTGTTCAATGCAGTCCCCAGGCATCTCAACCGTAGTAAATCTAATGCGTAAGTTCCATCTTTATACTTTGAAATGCGATACCGAATAACAGATCGGTGCCCACTAGCCGATCGCATTCAAATGTTTTTGAGATAGAGATATCTGGTTTGCATTTTTCTCTATACGATAGCTGTCGATCCGGAAGGTTCACTACTGTGCAGATATCTCTCTGCGTGGAAACCTGCCCAAAGTTGGGACGACTTCGTTGGACGACTTTTTCTGCGTGCGCATCGGTGTTTGCAACCAGTTGCAGACAACGGGCTGGGCACTACGATCTTACAAGTGGAACAAGACACATCGCTTGTGAGTTATCAATAAGTGCGATTGCTATGGGAATTAACTATGCGCGGGACTCTCAACAAGCAAAGTTGATGAGTCCTCCAAAGTCACATTCAGCGTCGATGCCTGTGATATCCGACACTCCGGGAGGATTGGTAGCTTCGAGGAAACCGTTGGAAAGCTCTTGGAACGCCCAGGTCGTAAGTGAGGTTTGATATTTCCCCTTCAGCACATTTAACGCATCTTTAGCCATCAGGCAGACTGTCAACTTGTATGGATCAGGAGGCCAAGAAATCGAGATTCACTTTAGCATTGCCCGCATCCAATATTCGACCATCAACAAGTTATCTATCTCTTGTGAGCAGTCAACCATCCTCTATTGAGCGCTATTTCTCAAATCATTTCTGCAGACGTCGACCTGCAAGATTTGCCCTCCATCCATCATAACACATTTCGCGTTCAAGTGGCTATAGATGGCACTATCTGGGAAAGCTCTTCAAAGCCCAGTAATCAAGGATGCTCCAGATGGACAGACAGATATGATTTGTACGTTGACTGATGCCGTCCATATGCACATGTTTGACGCATTCTCGACAGTCCATTCCAACTCGACTCGCATGCTTCACTGCAAATTTTTGCTACACGTTGGCTCCACGGAAACAAGCCGATAGCTGTGGTGGAAGGTTCCGTGAAAGAATGGCTCGCTGCGCCCAATGGTGGTAGGTTACCTATGAGCCTCTGTGTAGCCCACTCACAACATCCGCAGTCTTTAGCAAGACTCTTGAGTCTATGGGCACAAAATTTCAGCTGGAGTTTAAGGTCTCTCAGACTTCTACCGCTGGTGATTTCTACGTTGAGAAAGCTGCCGATCCGGTGGTGGAGAAACATAACAAACTGGACACAAAGGAGATCGATGCATTGGACATTTCCGGTACATCTCAGTTGATACTAATGATTTCCACTGTTGCTCACGGTGTATTGAAAGCCATTATCCTGGACATCGACCCCATTCCTAAATTCGGAAAGCTGTCTTGGGATGATCGATTCTTCCTCGAAATCCACGCGATGAATAATGGAGAACCTCATAAAGTTATATCTCAAGCGCAACAGGGGGTGAAGTGCTTGATGTGGGATACAACATTCACGTTGTAAGTGCTCCCATGTCGTACCGTTGCGCAATAATTTAGGCATCCCAGTAACGTTTCTCAGACATCACGACTCGTATTCCGTGTTCTCGGCTACGACGGAAAAGATAGCGATCCAATTCCTATTGGCACGACTATCTTCGAAGTCGATGAAATTCTGCAGCAAACCAGCTGTCAGTGTTGTTTTCCGATGACGAGTACATTGATTTAACGACGAACGCGCCAACAGTGATTAAACGTCCGTTTCTATCTGCAACATCCGTGCGCATAGATGGAATGCCCACTTTGTCTTTCAGAGCAGCACAAGCTGGTGCTATGTCATTTACAGGGTCTTCGTCGCTTACGGCTCGGAAGTCTTTGGATTCTTTCACGCAGCTTTCTGCCGCCGTTAACCGTACTGCCCATCTAAATGTCCAACCCAAACAACCAAGAGACCATACTCAAAATAAGAGAATAATTGAAGATGCGATTTCTCGGGCTAGCAAATACAATAGCGGCGATGAACACCTTTACCCTCTCCTGGTAAAGATCGGTATCTTTGTTTCGGTGGCTGAAAGACTGGCTAAGGTATAGCGAACCTTTCTCACAATACGCACCCAGAAGAACTAGCTTGACTCATTTTTTTAGCTTCACCCCTACGCAAGTATTGCATATTCGATACTGGCAACAAGATACGAGGTTTGGGTGCACCGTTTCTATTGCTTATGTGTTATAAAATCATCGTTATCAGGTCATCAGACAACAGATCGCCCGCGAAAACGGCGTGATTCGGCTGATGCATACTATGCAAGAAACTTACGATCTTATTATGGCCGTCAATTCCCTCCCGTATCTGTATCGACGAAAAAATGTTATCGAGGCCATCGTGCAGCAAACAATCGAATGCGCGTTCTTCATCCGCGATTATGTGATTACTCGAGGCAGCTGTGAGTCTTCCAGGTGTGGTAGAGTTCTAGCTGATGTCAGACGTCATTCGTAAAGTTGCGCAAGTGATCAGGAATTCAGTACTGAACGTGGAATCTCAGATCAAAGAATTCGAAAATGCATTCAAAGACCTTCAACGCAGTTTTCAGAGCCATGGCGCTGTCTCTCCGCAACTCACTGTGCTCAAAATCTTAGAAGATGTTCAAGATCTTGGTAAGTCGTCCTATCATTTCCCTGCTTCTATCTTCACACCGTTTCAAATAGGCGCAAAGGCAGATTTTCGCGACATGCATTACGCCATAGATGCTAGATGTACTGCATCATGTGCCATTCATCTACCCACCTACAGTGCGGCGCCCCCGGTTGACCTGATAACATCCCTGCAGAGCTGGGTTATCGGGGACAGCAAGGAATCAGAGAGGATCTGCGTCCTGTCCGGACCTGTAGAGTCATGCAGCGCCATCGCGCTAGTGGTTGGAGAACGATTTCAGTTCGCGTCACGCCTTGGTTCTTCATATTGCTTTCGAGGTGACAGGCACAACGACACCCGGAGCTACACAAACTTGTTCCCAACAATCGCCCGTGACCTGGCAGATCGTAATGCTCAGTTCAAGCAGAATCTCTGGAGGGCTGTGGGACATAATATGAGTTTGCGCAAGACATGGGTGGTGAAGACGCAGTTTGAGGAATTTATCCTCGCTCCCTCCAGGGATGTCATTTGGAACGGACCATATCTGGTCATCATTGACGGTCTGGAGATGGGAGGCGACGAAGCCGCAAGGAAGGAAGTATTGAGTGTCCTCGTGGAGAAAGGGGCTGAACTTCCCAGAAACCTCCGATTCTTGATCACTTGCCGGCTGGAGGATGACATATGCAAAGCTTTTAGCGGTCAATCGCATATTCTGCGCCGACAACTGGGAGAATCTGGCTCCTTCGCAATGCCACCCGACGCATAATGCCTTTCCTTCCCGTCGTGCTGCGAGGTTTGTGGTTCGAATTACGGTCGATGTCATTCGCTGAAATATCAATTTATAGCATAGCACGCAATTAGACTTGAACGAAGTGTTGTCTTTTTCTTTACCACCGTCACTCGAGGTGTCAAGCTGGGTTTCTATGACACTCGACTCATGAGCTCAAATTTCGTCGTCCCAATAACTCACTATAACTATTCATGGCTCCGTTGATGGATTGCACTCAAATTTTCATTAGTCTTGCATTATGTTGTTCTCATACTTACTAGCCTGCACGTAATTCGCCTCTGTGGGACACCTCGATCGACGAGGATCATACCTTTAGAGACAACCTAAAGAAAATTGATGGACAATTTCTAAATCAAAGCATCAATGAAGTACTGGCATTTCCTGAATATAATATGATGTGTTCACATCTGTTGTACAATAGGCGTACTCCCTTTCTCAAGAGCAGTTCGAAGACTGGGGCGGTTCAAGTCAACATCACATAAATGGAGCCAAATGGATGCTCCTCACCTATAATCATCGCCATTCTGGGTTATATACCTGACCCAAGGCAGGGCTTGATATCCGCTCTTTTCTACGATCTTCAGATAGCGAACTTGGATACCAGACACCGTGAAATAGGGGATCTCGAACTTCACACTGATGGGCGCACGCTTCTCCATGTCTTGTTCTACTCCATTGGTCAGTAAAGAGAATGCACAAAGTCAGGTCTACTCGCCGCTTTTAACACTCGGAAGACCAAAATGAGCACGCATTAGATATTCCCGGCCACCTCCGAGCTGCTTGATCTTCCAGACAAATGCAGACTTATCAGGAGCATACTGCACACTGCCTGTAGATGCCTGGCAGACCGTGTCAGCTGAGAGTTATCTAGATAATCTAGGCGACAAACTCTGAATTTCGGGCTATCTGCATCATCCGGGACAGGAACATATATCTCAACATTATTCGCAGAGCTTCTGCGCTTGAATTGCGCTTTGCATTTCACCATATATTCCACACGGCTCCCTTTGTGGCTTTCCACGGCTGCTTCCACCCAGATAAGAGGCTTGACGGGCGTCGAAAGTCGGTAAGACATAAGTTCGAACTCGCCGTCTGGAGGTATGAACGATATTGTGCGGTCATTTTCGAACCTGGAGAGCCGGACGCACTGGTGGAACTTGACGTCCTCCATTTCGATAGCTTTTCCCCGAGCAGCTATCATAAATTGATGTATCAGAGACAGGGGGAGGAGTATAAGACCATCGCATACTTCTACCAGTGCTTTCAAACATGACCTTGTCGTTCAGCCCGAGTCGCAGTTCAGGCATACCAGACAGGTAGCATTTCATTTTTACGGCACCTAATATTTCAGATCGGACCACGTTGCCGTTCGAATTGACCTATGTATGCAATTCATGTCGAGCCTCGTCACACAATGAGCAGTACTCACCAAGAGGTTCACGCTCTCAACAACGTCCAGGAAGACCTCATTTTTCCTATACCTTATGCCCTCTGTTCTCCATGAAACAGCATTCGTGACAGCCATGGGAGGCCTTGCTTGGATCTCAAGCTTGTGCGACTCCTGGGTGATGTACCTAACACAGCATTAGCACCCAATACATGCGAGCAAGCCTCATACGCACTCTTGTAATATCTTACTCTCTGTCGTTTGCGGGAACCCAAAGTCCATCATCTCATCCATCAACTCATATATTATAACGAAGTTGTCTCTGATAGACTCCTCCTCGAGTTCCTTGAAGTATTCCATCAAAACTTGAGCCAGTCGATGGAGGAATATGATGATCTCAGCGGCATTTGAGTTGCGTTTCGACAAAGCCAAGACTGCAGTGTAAAGCATCAGGGAGGCGGTTCCGCCACAAGGCACGTCAAGACGCACTGTAGAGATTGGAGTGTCGAATGTGCATATAATTGATGCCTTGACTTGAGAAGCATGGTGTTACTTGCTGTCCCTCTTCTTCGATGTCTAGTACAAGCGGTAAGAAGCGCTCGATGTACGACGACGGTACATCGTCCTTGTACGAGCGCTGTATTAGAGGCTTCCCCTTCAAGTCGAGAATTGCGATCAGGCTGGCCATGGTGGATGAAAGGCGCGAAACTGCGCCAAAGTAAAGTTGCCTTTTTGAGACTCATGGTGAAACTGCATGTCATTGCGATACGAAAGTAGGTCTACTATAACTACCCTGAGTTCAGGTTCTAAGTATTAACGGGAAACAAAAAAACCCCGAAACCAGACATCTACTTATAATCTCAACCAGCCAAAGAACCTCGAACTCCTGGCCGAACGTCTTGGTTTTGCCAGAAGTGGCACATCTTCACGGGCGTCCTCCGCATCGCTGTCGAAAGACATGTCGCCAACTTGGGGATCTGAAACTTCGCCAACGACGGTGTCAATGTCGTCTGTCAATGGAGTGGACGAGCTGCTATTCAAGGAGTAACCAAAGTCATCAATCTTGAGCCTACGCTGGCGGAATTTCCATGCTATGCACATAACCAGTAGGGCGGATTGCATAATGCCGGACACAGCGTACATCGCCCAACCTTTGACACATTATTCATACAACAATAATAGCAGCAAACGCAAACGCACTTGTCCAGTTAATGCCAGGGCTTGCATAAATATGAGTACAACGTCGAATACGGAGAATCTAGTTGCTCACCGAAGCGCAATAGATATGGACATCACAAAGGCCCCAGGGCTTTGTATCATCATCATAGGGATACTGAGCGCCCCGACAAGCTTCGAATGATAAGTTCGCGACAGCTGTGGGGCATATTGAATTGCTGCGAGTAATGCAGAACTGACGCCGAGAAAGGTCGCCCACAAGGATATTTGACGTGGAACCCCTCCGCCAGGCTCTTGGATGCGCGTCAACAGAAGGAAAAACGTGACGGTGGTAATGAAGACACTTCAAAACACACATCAGAATGTAGAGCCAGAAAATGAAATGGGTAACTCGAACAGATGGATTGTGACAGCCCACGAGACGTTCATAGATAGACGCCAATCATCACTCGAGAGCTTTGTCTTGACATGCTGAGGAGGGAGAGTGCCGTGCGCAGGGATGTCAATGTCAACATATTTCAACCGGGCGGGATAGTAGATCATGTATAAAACCAGGCTGCATTTGATGTTAGTTAAACTGCCAGATTGAAAGAGATAATCATACATAGCCGTGAATAAAACCCACTGCAAGACCACTTGTGTTACTCCAGCAGTGATTTCTAGGCATTTCCCCACGCTCTGACAAGTCGTAGATTCTCAGTGGCGCCAAGCAGGCAAAATCACCGCGGAACGCACCACATCATTACAGCACTGAATAGTAGGCCAAGATAATGCGATCCTGTTGGACGGTTCATCAGAAAACCCGAGCATCAACATCAATGCCATCCGGTGGCTCACATATTAAGCATTCCCGCGGCAGAAGACGTACTACCAAGTAGCAAGAACCACGGGCTAAAGCCCTCGGAAGAGCCCATCTGAATTATTCGGAGGTGCTATTGTACAACAGTCAGATGATTACTGGTCCGCATGTCGTTCACGTTACCTGTGGGCAATAGGATACGACGAGACCAATGATAAGACAGGTAGCGAGTGCATTGACAAACCAGTCGCTATCCTGTGGAATAACCAGTTGCATGAGATTCATATTCATACTACTCAGTATCAGCCTACCAAATGGCAAATGTCATGCATTGTACGTGGAGGAGTGCTGCAGGTCGCAAGGCGGTCGCACGGCGCACGCTGACCGAATAAGTCAGCTTATGTAATCCAATGCCGCTTGCTGCTCACTGTCAATATTATTCTGTCCACGCCCTTCTCGTGTCCCCCATTATTAATGTCGTCCTTCCACATACTCCGCTCTGTGCGGATGTCTGCTGTCGTTCGTGATCGTTCAGTATACCTATTGGATCACTGGACACGGTCGAATAGCCAAAATTTAGGGAGTCTTAGCTTGCGGAGATGGTTACACGGGTCGCAGAGTGCGTATTCTACTTTCTGATTTGGAATACTAGACCGACCACAATTCGTCAAGTACAGCGTCATGGAAATGTGACCAGGCCAGATCCTGGTACTGGGTACGCAGCATACCGGAAAAAGTCCCGAGTTGACCCTGACTTTGCTTCAGAATTAAATTGCATTTCAAAGATTCGAAGGGTAAATTGTTGAAGACCATCGAAGCGAACGAGGGAGATGATATCCTATCACTTGCGCATGAACATGATATCGATCTAGAAGGTATTTCGCGAATAGTGCTTCATTTGACATCATTTGGTCAGCTGAACTCATTTGGTTGAATCATTAGGCGCATGTGAAGGGTCAGTTGCTTGTTCGACGTGTCATGTTGTTCTCTCGCCCGAGCATTATGATTTACTCCCCGAGCCATCTGACGATGAAAATGACATGCTCGATATGGCGTTCGGTTTAACTGACACTAGTCGACTCGGGTGTCAAGTGCATGTAACTCGCGAGATGGACGAAATGACAGCGACACTGCCTAGTGCGACAAGGAACATGTTTGTGGATGGGAAGAAGCCCACGCATCATTGATAGTGAATCATGGATATATCCTTACGTATCAAAAAATCACACTGCTGACAAGACATCCGTGCTTTGTGGAGGCCACGAAGGTCTGGTCTTTCACAGGTATTTATGAATTAGTCAACGTCGCGACGATAATCAAGTACTGTTAAGATACCGGTGTCCTTAGGCAGTGCTCATGTGCACCGTCATTCTATTATTGCGTTGTCGCTTGTCGGAATTGTGATTTTGGATTAATTCTTGGATTAAAATTAGTCTTGGCTAAATTTATGGCTCTAATCACCATTACCATCAGTGCCTCGAAAACGCCTCGAGGCACTAGGGATGTCTCGGTCTGATCCTAACCCGCGTCACAAGCTTTTCCTATATGTACACTTGTTTCCCCCTCGAGACTTTTCCCAAGTTGCCATGTCCCAACCCTGCGACGCGCTGCAGGTGAGTTTGTCACCGGGTGTCTGCTCGTCGTACCTTACCTTCTCTAATACAGGCCGTGGCGGTGGCACATCGCCCTGCATTGCGCGAACGTGCAGGACAACCATTAAGTACACCTGCACCACCCGCAGGATATCCAACATCTGTCCATGCTTCTCGTCCATTGCGCTCTTCTCCCCTCGCTGGGCCAGCATTTTCTAGTAATCCATCAATCGTATCTATAGAGTCGAGTCAATCACATTGTCCAAGTCTTTTTAGCATAGACGTCGGTCCATATTCTCGCTCACAGCCCTCATCTATCATCTCTCACACTGGTTCTATTTCTGCCACTACGTCCTCGCATGCCCATCGTGCCCCCAGACCCTTAGTCGGACCGTCCAAGAGCGCCGGTGCCATTCCCACCCTCGGCCTAGATGCTCGCCCATATTCACGCTCCCCACCCTCATCTTTCATTTCTTATACTGGTTCTGCTAGCTCATCCTCCTTCTCGTCGCACGCGCACCGTGCTCCCACAACGGGATCAGTCAAGAGCACTATTTCTACACTTAATCTGTTTCGACGGCATGCTAAGGATGAGCCAGCAGCACCACTTCCTACCCAAGCACCATTAATATTCGGGCATAGTCGCTCAGCATCATTTCCAAGCCAAACAGTTCCCACGCCAGCCCATGTTCCACAAGCCTACTCACCAAGTGTTGCTCGGCCAGTCTCCCGAACACCTTCAGTGTCCCGAAACCCGAATGATAACTGGATGTCGTCTACTCCATTTGGACCTGCGTCTACGCCCCGCTTTTCCAGACAAGCGATGTCATCACAACCAGTCGTGATGCCCCTAAGTGCTAGGGAATACCGCCGACGAAAATGTGCCAGCATGATGACGAACACGGTGTATTCGGCAGCATCTGGTTCACCGGTCTCCGGCAAGGAAGGTGTAAATTTTCTACCTCATATTGAAGAGGCCTCCGGTCCTTCTCCTTCCGTTTCCTCATCCGGAAATAGGTCTTCCAGGCGTGCCTCGTCTCCTTCGCTTCCATCCTCACGGCTATCTCTTCCCCCAAGTTCTCGGGAACCCGCATTGTCCGAGACTAGTTCGATCAGCAGCAGCTTCTTCTCATTATCGTCTGAGAACGAGGCAGAGAATGCCGTCATCACTGCGGTTGATCCCGGCGCAACGCCGTGCCGGAGGATGTCTTACCCCAACCCAACCCAGCGTCATTCACGCATTAGTCTCGTGGATGCCGTGAGTCGCCTTTCGCAGATGAGCGGGACGAGTGGAGATACCGTGTTTTTGGATATGGATGACAGTCTTAACCCTCGTCAGAGACAGATCTCTGTGACGGAGGATGACGGAGTGCTCAGAAGGGCGAGCTCTAGAAGAGTACTCAGAAGGGCAAGCTCGAGAAGGAAGAAACCTGATGCACCTTCCCGAGAACCGCTAATGGCGGACGCCGCGGCACAACCTACTGCACTACAAGAACACACTCGAGTGGTCAGGATTCTGGAAGCCAGCGAAGTTTCGTCTACCCCCGTGCTTCACAGCACGTTTTCCGGCGCATCCCATGACCGTGAAGAACTTGTCTCCGGTGACATATCCACCGAGCAGGCCGCTCCTGAATCGAAGATGGACTCGAAGGCGCCAGGCACTTCGTCCGCTGAGGCACAGGTCAGGTCTCGCAAGAAGCTTACCAAATCTCGAAAACAATCTATTCAGGTACCACAAGCACAATTAGTTACCCCTTCATTACCCTGGATACCTCGCCCTTCTTCACCGTTCTTCAGGGGTAGTGCAAAACAGAACATTCCAAATGTTTCCACATCGGACGCGACCCTCCAGGAAAATGTTCCGCTGACTGAAGAGATAGGAGATAACGCAAAGGAGAACAAACGTCTGGGTCGTCGATTGACATTCCAGTTTATTCCTTCCCCCTCCTTTTACAGGCGACCCAAGTCGGCTTCAGGCAGTGCTCCAAGCCTTGACTTAAGGTCTCCGATGAGGAATGACGCACGGCAAAGAATCCCTGAACCTGATTCCCGGTACGGAATGGATAACAGCCTGACAGGTAGCGCAACTACTATCACCTTGTTGCCTCCTCCGCCTATTACGTCTTCTTCCAGTGTATCCTCAAGTGCGGGAAATTCTACTTCAAGCTTGACTGATGGCAGTAGCACGATGGGGTCACGGGACACTGGCGCTACTTCTATCAATGCTCCGAACCTCCAAACCGCTTCTCGTGGCGCAGAATATTCTTCCCCAAAAATCCCGTCGAACCTGAAGCAGAGCATGGTAATGCAATGGACCAGTGACGATGACAGTGACCAGCAAGACAACTCAAGACATGCCTCCAAAACTTTCGTCGACCCCCCTAATGCCTCGCATGATCAAGAAGTACAAGCATCGTCATCTTCCTTTTGTACCGTCACCTCTTACGCATCATTCACCTCGTATGCCACATCAGGCTCTGTACCTACTGCTCTAGATACCAAAAACACGTTTCGCCACCACGACCAAGCACCGGATCCTAATGTCCACCCTATGTGGACAGTTCCTATGGTCACGATCACCGCTGCCTCACCAACCATCCCCCCACCACGTGCTAAAGAAATTTCCCCCATACTTCACGAACCCCACGTAGAAGCCTCTTTTCTAGCTGTTCCCGTCCCCATTCCTACCCCGAGGCCTACAGCACGCCTGAAGCGTCCGCGTCCACGTCCACGCCCACAGACGGCACCTGCTTCACCCACCGTGCCGCATTTTCCGACTCCAATTTCGAAATCACCGCGGACTGCCGGAGCGTCGTCAAGGTTCACATCTATATTCCGCAGTCTCCTTAGTCGTGCAGGCTGATATCATCAGGGTCATCTTTGATTTTAGCAAGAAGTTTGATGCTGATCCTCCAGTATATTGTTATCTGGAGAGACGCTTACGCCCGTTTCATGTGGACACGATTAGCGAGATAGCTACTATCCTATTTCGTCTGGCTTTATGGTCACCTGTCTTGGGCATGCGAGTGCATGATAATGGTTTTGGGAACGAACACTGCTTTCTCTGGCTTGCACGTAATTGATGTGATGATTATTTACATACATTGTACTAGAACGTTTCTCATGACTTTCACGAAGATGAAACAGATATCTTGGGACTACATGATCAATAATATATGAGCGTGATGACTCAAATTGGATGAACGTGCACACTAGTTGGATTGTACTAGTTTCATGGAAGATTCTATGCAAGGAGCGACAACGTTCCTCACATGCGACTGGTCCGATAAGTTGCACGGTGCCGCGTGACCCTGAAAAGTCATCGCAGCACCGATATTCTTAGAGGGGCTGAACGATGAGCGCTGAGCTGCAGTGCAATAACCCACACTAATATTCGGGGTTTTGATCTCGTTTCTCGCGACTCTGTCGTTACTAATGATTAATTTGTGAGCGGCAGATGGGCCGCTGGACCCCTTACGATGCCACTGATATGGAGGCACAGGAAGTTTTCTTTACATAAATGTAATCATACGGCAGTTGAATATTATTTCTCGGCAAATCGGGTGTCTAACGAGAGGCTATACAAGAAACGATTCAGGAGTCCTGGTCGAGGCTGCGAAGCAGCTCAAAGTCTTGACCCAGTGCGCGCGCTTCTGGCACTCAGCCTCGAGAAAGAGACCGACAATCTCCACCACAAGAGAACGACAGAATCGGAATTACAACGATCAACCCTTTTTGAGAATTGGAGGACCCGCACAGGCGGTTGCACGTTTACCCGTGGTGACAGGCTCAGAAGACGAGGTTGCTCGTTCGTAGGACTTTGAAGATGGAACAAAATAGTGGGACAGTCAATTGAATGGCTCAAGGACAGCCAGTAGCGACGCCAACTTAGACCAATCGGAGATGACCCATTACTGACGCCCCCTTGTGGGGGATCGACTTGATGGACTTTTCCCCAGATGCCAGCTCAGTCCTAGCGACTGATAAAGCCATGGAGCACAGAAACGTGATAGGTGTTGCAAGGTCATCTAATCGATTATGGAACACCAGCCAATCGTGACTGCGTCCACTGAGTACTTGCCATCCGGCGAACTTGTTCTTATTGTCATTGAAGTCTAAGGACGTCGGACGAGGGAAATCATCACACACTTCGTGTTACCGTCAGCGGGGCAGGCCGTGGCCGCGCAGTTTGTTGTGCAGATCGATTTGAAGACGCCACTGATGCGGATGGATACGAGTGATGAAGTTATGAACGCCAGCCTCAGTTGGCTGCGGATGCTGCACGCGACAAGGCTATCGAGCTATCCTCGACGGTGATCAACCTGGTGTAGTGGCGCTAGTGTGGCCAATCCCGGATCCGAGGCCAACTGGGTGGCCATCATTTTTTGCGCATCGAGTAAACTCAGCAGTACTAGTTTCATCAAGTAGGATTGATGCGGGATCTTCAAGATTATCGATTATCAGTGGAGAAACACGAAGTTGTTGATGCCCGAAAGTTTGGAGCCGCTCCCACGGTTCTTTCTGCCACAGTCACAGCGGCCACTTGCCGATTTGATAACCGATATCATGATTGCAAACCCCAGCGCACCTATCTTTTCGTAGTCGGCACTCATTTTAGGAATCCATAACCACTGCGGCCATCGATCTCATCCCTTCGTCTTTACTTGAATATGATGATCAGCAAAAGTATGCAGCGCTACACGGTGCACAACGCTATGACGATGCTACCGATGCCCATGCTTTTAACATTCAG